ACGTTTTTTAGTTTATGGAGACTCAGCCATACTTTTAAAAAAGCGTTAATGCGATTGGTTAACTTGACTGCAGCGTCTGAAAAAGTTGGTTGCACTACTCACTAAATTTTTATACAAGCAGTAGAGAGTTCATATATGCGAGCTCTGAGCATAAAGCACGTGGCTCTTAAACACGTTTGAACTGTAAATAATGTTGGATCTTATTTCCGAGAAACTTAGGTATCCTTTTTGTTCAATTTTAGAGTTCACTAACCCTTAAGCTTTAAAAACTCTTCATCTCAGGTTGATTTATTGTGCGATGTCATTGAATTTTGTGTTTATTCAGCTTCGAGTTAAGCCGTTCCCATCACTAACTGTCAAAAAAGTTAAAATTGCAACGTATTGCTTACGTCATTGAAAGCAAATAACACTTTATATTTTTTTCTCCTTACATGTACGCATCTCCTTTCTGCCCTCTAATAGTTTAGGTATATTTGATGAGTAATAATATTTTTTTCAAACTCATGCACTGATATGTGAGTGCATAGGAGCATATCACAAAGCCTTAACACGTGCTGCAAAAACACACTCGCACACACACATACAACAGTGTTTTTGAGATTCGCCCGTATGTGCCAATTAAAATTGTGTTGAGTCAATAAAATAAATTAATAAAATTACGCATATCTGTCATATTTTATTAAAAGTCATTATGCGCTCAAATCGTTTGAAATATTATATATGATTGTGTAGTGTTATAATTTGTATCGCTTTTTAATTTTATTATAATCATTTTTATCGATTTTTTCTTGTTTGCAGCAAACCATATGAAATGATGCAATGAAAACACTTGACTAATATATCATTTATTGTGTGTCAAATTAATAAACAGCTCTTTAATTGACTCGATTGTAAACGAGCAAGCAATATTGCTATTTGTGTTTGCGCTGGCCAATATTTCGCCAATTTCACCAAAATGCGTGCAAATAGGAAAAAAACAAATAATAAGGTATTTTGCACGGTGATGAATGTGAAAAATATTTTCACAAAGTTACTGACACACGTGCCTTTGCCACTTTGGGATGATGCCAAAAGACTTTGGCATGCAAAGCTTTTATTATATAATATATATAATATAATATATATATATATATATATATATATACTTGTATACTCATAAATATGTTTGTAGATAAGCGTGACTAAAACGCATTTTTGATAGCTATTGACTTTAGAAACTCACTTTCTCGCCGAGGTCAATTAAAATGCAGTTGACAAATGCTTGCGAATTGCTGGCGAAGAAATATTATATATTTAAGCACTTAACTGTGTGCAGCTATTTGATGTAATGGTCCGATTTAGAAAACATGTCCGCAGATTGTAGCGAAGTCTTTAAGAAAAACTTATGCCAAATTTCGTAAAATTATCTTATCAAATAAAAAAAATTTCCATACAAGAACTTAATTTTGATCGTTCAGTTTGTATGCCAGACGGCCGCACGGACGAACCGACAGACAGACATGGCTAATCGATTCACCTCATCCTGCTGTTCATTTTTGTATATGGTATGCTTTGTAGTATCCGATGATTCCTTTTCGTGTTGCAAACATCGACCTGTTCAAGGTATAAAAAATGCCGATTTTTGAACTTAACTATGCAACAAAAGTTTTTGCCGCCAACACCGCATTTTACTCAAGTTCATAAATATTGGTTTATTCTTTTTCTTAATTTTCAAGACATGTTTATGATCAGAAATATATTTTATTTTTATTTATGATTATTTTTGACTTTTAACATAATAGATACAAGTATATGGTTTGCAACTCTGCAAAGACGTCACTTCTTTGGATAAGAAATAATAATAAACAATTTTATTTAAAATTATATGATTTAAATTCCGTAATTTTTGTGCAGTTTCAAAGAGGATTCAAAAATTTTTGAAACCAAAACTGAACGCACATTTTGCCAGCAATTGCAAGTCTCAAAAAATCTTTACAAAAACATTTATGTATATATTTACATAAGTCGCCTTGCGTGTTTCACTGGCTGTGAGGTGTGCGAAATGATATATTAATAATTATAATGATATCTGTATGTTTCACTGTTTTGGACAATATTTGTATGGAAATACAATATATGTAGTGTGCTTATGCCACTGAGCGCAGTATTTGCAATCAAATGTAAGTAGGTATGTATATATGTATATTTGTATGTATTGTATGAATTTTATATTTTGCTTTTTATTAACAAAATTACAGACATTTGCTCAAACAATACAACAACAATAAATTTATTCAGCATATAATTTACTGTTAATTAGCAAACGGTTATACGTTATAAACAGTTATCGCTCACATATTTTTTTGCAAATTTTTTGAAATTTTCGCACAACCAAATGAAAAATGTAGCAAAGCAACTGCAATTTCGGCCGTCACTATTTGTTTCAAAATACCGAAAATGATTTGTAATATTCTATGAATCCCCACTTAACATGATTTTTTTTTACCTGTGCAGTGGTTCACTGGCTATCAATTTTATTGAAATGCGACGTTTATGCCACATGCATTGCTATGATTTGGAAGTTCATGGCAAAATATTAGCATGTTTCACTAATTTGTTCGCTTCGGCTTAAATTTAGCATATTCTGGCTGTGTGTGTGTGCGTATGTTTCGTAATCAGTTTAAGCGACCGCATTTGTTGCATGTTTGAATTTTTGCGTAGCATTTCTAAAACTAAGCTCAACCGGACGCGGACTACGAACATTACGTACATTAATTTTAATGATATTTACCATAGCCAGATTAATGCCTAATTAGTGGCCTGACATTGGAAAACATGCATTTCAATATTAATATTCAATTTCAAAACAATTATTTCATCGCTTTCGCTCTCTCTCTTTCTCTTTGTGTGTCTCATTCGGTAATCAACGAGGTTGCAGTGGCAGAACTTACTAAGCTTGTGGCTTATATTATATAATATTATATATTTAATAGCGTGGTTGGCTGCAAGGACAGTTTTGGACTAGCATATCTAGTATGCAAGAAATAATAGATTTTCAGGGTAAATTTTTTAGGATATTTTTAACCTCCGCAGTAATTATGTTTAGCGAAATTTAGCAACTCGGTTTGAAAAAGCTTAGTGGATAATATTACATAATATAACCAAATTATGCACGAACATATTTCATTGATGATTAAAAATGTAGCGTACGTAGTAATTTTGAAAGTATGGTAGCTTAGATTGAAGTAAATTTTAATTTAATTTTTTTTGCACACATAATATTTAGATGTATTTAGATAATGTAAGCTTACCGGTATTTATATGGAGAGAAGTAATTTTTAAACATTTTTAGCGGTTTTAGATTTGTATCAAAAATCAAACTTTATGATCAATCTTATTGAAATTATAGGTGCCAAAACCGACGGGCTTTTTAAGCTGTGCAAGTGAGATCCCTATTAGGATCGAACGTTTAACGTAAATCTCAGACATATTTCGAAATATGTATGTATGCACCTTCGAATTTTGAGTCTTAAATTTGTACTTCAATGATTTTTTAAAAAGAAATTTAGACTGAAACTATTTACCACATTTGCAGAAGACTTATACTATTAAAAGTTTAATTCATAGAAGAAGAGAGAGCTCGACGGTACGGGTCGACGAAAGACCAAATTCGGTTGAATTTAATTTGACAAAGTTGGTCGAACTGACGAAGTCAAAACTATTTTAGACCTAAATATTGCAAACTGCCCACATCTTTCATTTTAGACCACCAAACTTATACAAAACAATTCTATTAACACTGAAAACTGTAAATAGACTATTTCCAGTACTCTCAATGAGAGGATTAGGACCTAAAACCTGACCGAAATCATGAGCTATAAAAATAAACGTTGCTCCGTAAGAACGATACATAATAACCGAGCTAAGTTAGTAAGCGGTAGAGATTGGTTTCGTGATGTATAAAGGACGCAAACATTGTTTTGTGAAAACAATGCAAATAAATGAAGCAATCCGTGATCCCTAAAGCCATTGATCTCATCAACTGTCCATGATCAAAAACGAGAGCCTCTAGAAAAACCAACCAAGACGGGTTTAAAGATTTTTCTATGTTGTTTTTGTTTTGTGTGTTTTGGTAAAAAATATTTTGAAAAAATTTTCAATATTTAAGTTGTCAGACAAGATCATCCGCATGATCAGTGATTGTGAGATATGGCTTTGAAAGCTAAAGTGGCGCTTTAAGCATTATTTATTTGAAACACCTCTCAAAGTTGCAATATAATTTCAAATTCGCTGTCATTACATCTAACTACAACTTTGTTAATTTCACAGAAGCTAATAATAAACACAAAACAAAAAGTGCCTGTTTAATGGAGCGGGTCCCTACTTTAAATGCAAATTATTTAAAAGTTCGTCGGAATAAAATAGGATGAAGAGCTGCACTTAACTTTTAACAAGATCTTAAGACAAAAAATTAGTAACCAAGCATGCGTTTCAAACATTTTATCAGTTTCTTTTAATTGCTGAAAAATTTTCGACCTCAAATTCAGACGGTAGTAATTAGATTCTTCTTCAAATAGTCAATTGTAAATAAGTTATAACATATTATATGTATGAACATATGTTCTCTACTTGCCACATTTAATACCTTGCAATTCATTAATTCATTTTAATTGCTCATAACTAGCACTTGGCTACTCAAGTGTTATCGTTCTTATTGTTTTGCGGTCAAATTAAACATATAATTGATATAGAAAGCTGCTAGAATTAATGAACTGAAGCTTAACAAATCGATTTGTCAGGTCGTTGATTTAATAAAGAAATTCGAGAAGAAATCACTTTTTTCTTACAGATTAATTAACATTGCTATCTTGCTATGTATTCATTTTAATTGGTTCATTGATATCCCACAACTGATTTATAGTTTATTAAAGTGTGGCGAGGGTCAATACATTAATAACACATTTATATCACGCAATCAATCTATAAAATACAAATTAAATATATTTTCTCTTACTTTCTAGGATCGGTTTTCATGCGGCGGCCGTTGAACAACAACAGTTTGTCTTTAAAGTAAGGTATTACAAAAGCTTGGTAAGCTCGTGAGTTAACATACAATTTACTAGCAATAATTTGATATGAAAATAATATTTACTTTCGTGTATTGACAGTTATATGTACATAGATACATATGTTATTATATATTATACTGAGTTATTGATGTTAAGAAATCAATATTTAATATTCAAAAATAATTATAATCGCTTAATTGCATTCATAATTCTCTAAAATGTTCCTGAACTGTTAACGTATTTCGACCACTAAATCATATTTGCTGCATTGGCTGCATATGATAGTCAATTTCTCACCAAAATATTGATAAATACATTCATATATGAGTAATTTTTATTCCTATTAGCAAACTACCCAATTTTTATGTTCATTTCAAAAAAGCAGACCGGAAATGTTGGAAATTAGTTTGGGTGTGAATCGTCGCAACCACATTATCAGTTGTCACAAAATGGTATAAAATATCATTCTCTAACAGCTCCCAAAGCTCTTGAAAGATCTCTATAAGCCTACTTAAATGCCCTAAGAATCTGCTCATTTGTCGAAACCGAACTTCTTTTTGAACTGTAAAAACTTCTGTTTCTCTCTTTCTACATATTTTTATCAGTAGCGTACTTGTCACATTTCTTAGATGATTTTAATGGCAAAATCAAAAAAAAAAGAGTTTTGTTAAGCTATTCATAATTTGACTGCAGACAAGTGAATATTCAAATAAAATTACTCGCGTAAAAATTATGATTCCAGTAATATCTAATTTAGCTTATCTACATAAAATTTAATTAAATATGAAGCTGTTAATAAAAATTCGCGACGAAACTTCCTAAGTACCACATAAAACATGGAATAAATCATTAAGCAAGGATTTTCAGCAAAAGCCATAAAAATTTAATATTTCAAGGAGCTCTAAAACTAACTGGCCACCACCCACGCAAGCACGATGACTGCGCTCAATATTGGATTCGGGTGTGTCAGTGTGTTTGTTGGCTTCAGTGGGCCAAAAGTGTCATTGACCAAAGCACTCGTATAGCTCGAATGTCATTAGCGCGTTGCTAAGTAGCAGGTCAGCGCTGAGTGGGATGGACGCCGCTTGGACGTTCGTTGACATTAATTATTATATTTGTGGCTACTTTCAAGGCATTTGTTTTTATGCTGCTTTATTACTTGTGTCAGATTCTGTTGGCTCAACCTCAGTGACGTGATGGTTGGCTAATTCGGTTTCTTTTTTCGTTTTTGTCAGTGTGATTATGATATCTTAATTAAACGTTGTCCTAGCTCAAATTTAAAGTTTAAGGCCATTATTTTATATATTTGCTGAAAACATTTACGACATTGCAAGTAAATAGAATTTATTGCAGTGTGGATGTGGATGTGTGTGTAATTATTGTATTTTTACTAGTTATCGCCATTTTCACAGCACTGGAAATTTATTGCGCATAAACTTTTGACTTAACTGGCAATTAGTGCGATTTTAATTGTTTTGATGTCGATTTGCAAACCGGCGAGTTAAATTTCAAAATATGAGCATTAAAAAACCAGTGGGCGAATTCAAGTACGTAAAATGTATGTATACGATTTGAGATTTTCTACAAAAATAATTATTAACATCTTGAAAGTACCCTCTGTTATTATTGATATTTGGCAAAAGGAAAATATTGCCAAAATAATAACAAGACGAGAGTGTGAGGATGGAGTAAAAGATAAAAGGCCAAACTGATTTTATTTTTCATGACTCCATTTTCCCTACTGCGATCATTAGTGACTCCTTATTGAGGGAGGATTTTTTTACCCACGACCCCTGTCTCTGGACCAAAGTTTGAGACTCATCTAAACCCGCAGCTCAGCCATCTTCTCCGCTGCTCAGCACCCTTTTAGCCCCAGAGATAAATTTGTACTCTGATTTTAATTTCCTTTCTGCTGTCCGATTTTGAAGTCGGTTAATTTTTTTCCTACTCATTATACCCTGAACAGGGTATATTAAGTTTGCCACGAAGTTTGTAACACCGAGAAGGAAACGTCGGAGACCCTATAAAATATATATATAAATGATCAGCATGATGAGCTGAGTTGATTTAGCCATGTCCGTCTGTCTGTCTGTCCGTCTGTCTGTATATATGTAAACTAGTCACTCAGTTTTTAAGCTATCGATCTGAAATTTCGCACCTGTTCTCACAAAGAAGCTGCTGCTTGTCGAAACGACCGATATCGGACCACTATAGCATATAGCTGCTATATGTTGAATGTTCGGAATCAAGTTCATGTAAGGAACCTTTGTATTTGTGAAGGGTATTATAGCTTCGGTGCAACCGAAGTTAACGTTTTTTCTTGTTTTTATTGCAACTCCACTCAAAGTCACTGTCCATATGGAGGAAGGAAGTCGGCTTTAATGACCACAACTTTATCTATATTAAGAGGCCAAAATGAAGGTTGATGCACGCGCTTATAGGACAGAGCATTTAGAGCCGACCAGTGCAAAGAACCCTCTCAAGCAATACTTTCCACATCAACTTAATGATGTGGCTCCACATACTTAGATGACGGAATGACTCGAGCACGGTCAAACCATGGAGTTTACTGTTAGTATGAAATCATTAAATAAAAGACTTTAAGTTTATTTGATCAAATTTAGATTATTATTAAATCCGATAAAGCTTTTTACAGGTACTGTGTAATAAAAGCTAGAAGAAAATTAACTTCCGATACAAAATATTTTATCGTATCTTTTTATGGATATAAATCAGTCGTATTGATATGAACATTTGAAAAAAGGAAAACGGAACTTTTAAAAGCACTGTTCAACAGTTTTATATGAATATGACCTTTCATAAATCCTGTAGATTGCTTAAATATGCGCCTGTCCAAACTTCGATACTTTCAAGTATTGTGCGATAAAAGCTCTTTCACGACCCGTTAAACCTTTTAATTAATCTTTTTTTTCTTGCAAACTCTCAAAATTTTTTTACAAAACCTGCCACCGGTGTGTAATTAAATACATGTGCCATAAAATCTCCAACGAACGTGCCGAGCCGCCGTCGAGCACTTACAGTAGTAATTCATATCGTTTGACAGCTTTGAATTAAAAACCATTAAGGCGATAATGTGACATCTAATCGCCCCCGTTATATGTTTCCGTTGAGCGATTGTGAGGTGAAAACCATTGAACTTGCGGCATCAACTGGCCGCGCACAAATTAATAACACATTTCTCGCCCCTTACCAATACCTTACCACCAACACTGGCATAATTCCCGTTCGTTTAGAAAATCTTCATGTTCCGCTGATTGTTGGCTTCTTTCGCCTTTTTATTTGAATTTGAAAAATTTCTGCACCTTTCCTAATGGTAATAAATTTTCACAGGTACACATATGCACACACACATACAAATATACATTTGTGCACAGCAGCAGCGCGCCAACGGTTAATGGTGGATATTTTTAAATTTTTTTCTAAAATTAGTAAAAGCATCATAAATCATAATTTGTTGCCGCTTTGCTAATGGATTATGAAAAAATTACAGCCGTGACTTTGGCGGGCACACATTCACAAGCACACACATATGAGCGAGAATATCGAAACCTTTTAACCTAGCAATCAGCAGGGCTAATTTGGAAGGCAGATTCTTTTGTTCCACAGTTATTTGTTGTTGTAACTTAGCACAAGCCTCTCAATATATTTATATACAGACGCTTGTTCATCATAATATACCGGTCTAACGCCGCTAGTGGCATTGAAAACCCGTAAAGGAAACAAGTGAGCGAGCACCCCAGCGGCAACGGGAACGTCGAGATATGGGAATTAGTAGCACTAAATACAATACATATATACATACATATATCTCGATGAATTCATTATTTCAAACATTTTACATACACACCGGCCACATATTGTTGCAGCAAATAGCCGTATACGCGCCTGTGGTATGAATAAAATATGGCAAATTATTCTTTTGGGATTGATGTTGACCATCATCGAACTGAACGGCTAACTCAGCGCACCCGAATGTGTAACTAAGCCCTACAACAATAACAAAATGCGCCAGCATGGCTATAGTTCTGCTGTAATCTGCTGCCGAATATTTCATTTTAAACTTTTTTCCATCTGCATAAAATTTCACACAAATTTTTATTAGTGAATTATTACACACACGCACACATGCATACAAGCACTCATACTGTTGCATAGTGAATGCATGTATGCGTGTGTGCTTGCATCCGTTTAGGATTCTGCATGCCAAAAAGCTTTTTCGCTCACATCGAGTTGGGAATTGCCTGCGTTGTTAGAAATTAAAATTAATTTGTATATAAAATATACAAAAACATTAATATTATAGCCTTGTTTGGCTTAAAACTTTGCCATTGGCTGCAATAATGCGCACACACACATCGACACAGGAGTCAAGCCTGCGGAATTTCAAGCGATTTTTTCATTGATTTTCAGGCTAAATAGCTCAGCATATTAATGTGGCTGTTGGGAATTATTATATATATATTGTAGATATTTCGGAATTTCAAAACAATCGAAGTCATGAGGGTTGGTAAAAGGGTAAATTTAGATAATAATTTTTAATACAATTTTTGACATTTATTTATATGAGGAAATTGAAAATTTTAGCGAATCATTTAATATTTCATAACTGTGAACATCAACATTTTAATAAATTTTTTTTACTTTAAACAAATTTCATTTATTAAATAACTTTTCATATCAAATAGTCAAATTGTGTTCAAATAAATCGGCAGCACTTGCGCTGTTACCTTGCACATCTCCTCCAACACAGACGCATACGCCTTTCTTTTCTTTCTTTGGTGCAGAAATGTTTCGTTTCACACCAAATAATACTTACTTAACAGCTTGACTTCGAGCAGAGTCCTTGACCTACGTCTCATATAAACAGAACTGTAATTAAAATAATGTTATTAAAATAAATATAAAAGAAGGAATTACATTTCCATTGTTGAAATTTACTACTTACTAAGTTATTGACAACAGTAAAACTTGTCCAAAAAC